AGGAAAAAAAACAATTATATTTTACCTCGTAATTCAATAATAGCATGACTTTGACCAGCCATTGATTCAGCAAAACAACCATATAAACCAAAGTCTAATTTTTCAATATCTTTTATATATAAATTTGTTTGTATAATATTACCATTTGTATATTGTTGTTGTCGAAATTTAGATATTGTTTTATTATCAATTCTATGCCAATAAATTTTTGTATCAAATGGTACAATAGCTGAACAACGTAATTGTATAGATTTTCCAATACTACTATGAATAAGTGTTGATTGAGCTTGAATTGATGGTGGAACTAAAATTTAATCGATAACAAGGTCATTTCTTTTCGTATATTACATATAGTCTACTCTTGTTCGAGGTTAATCTTATGTATAAATAGAAATTCAATGTTAAATGAATATGAGAAATTACATCTTATAACCTTCGAAAGTACGTCGCTCTTTTTTTTGCTATTATAAAATGAGCAAAAAAAGAAAAAAAAACTAGATTGCCAGTTCACATTCTAATTTAAGGTCATAGAACAAAATGTACTTTATTTTTTTAAATCCTTTAAGAATATTTTTGTTTACAATATTATACATGATTTCATTTTATATAAAATATTTGTCAAATGTTGACAATTTACATTTAAATGGTAATCTGTGAATAACACATTACTTTATTATTTCATATATTTAAACATTAATTTTTATCCTATATATTTAAAACCAAAAGCTGAATTTTCTGACTTAACTACTCAACTTAAATCGTCTGATTGACTTTGTATATATATGACATGAAAAATTTCAATTAATTAAATTGAATTTCTCTTGCTAATATATTTTAATCATAGAATATATCGTACTCGTATTTCTTGTTCTTTTTTGTTTTATCACAGTTTAAAGAATGATATTTACCAATCAAGGATAGCAATAATACATAACATATCAAATTTTTTTTTTTTTTTTTCTTCGGATGATAACGATAGTCATGTTTCTTTAATATACATACAGACACATACGATTACATAAACACGCGCACGCGCAGAAAAACCGAAGAAGAATGAGACCAAAAAAAAAAACAAAAAAAAACGATGAAAAACGATATTATTTGTTACACAAATTAAAGAAGAAAAAAAAAATAATAACGATTGGAATCTGTTCACTAAAGAAGAAATAATACGGAACAAAAAAAAGAGAGAGATATTTGCAACAATAATAATAACAAATATTTAATGTTAAGCAAAGAGGTCATATGCGACATTTTATGAGAAAGTAGAGAGATTATTTTTAATGTTTATTTTTTTGATTTTTAAGAAAAAGTTCATATCGATTGATTAACAATCGATCATTTAAAAAAAAATGAAAAACAGAAAGCTTTCAGCGACTAGGCGGTTGGACTGTTCGCCTTACTGAATAAACGTTAAGAATTATAATGATACAGAAAAAAAAAAGAAAAAACCTAACTAAACGTAGCTGCAACTGTCCAGCAGCATCTACGACTTGTACATTTGAATGAATACATATACACTTAGTATATGAGACTATGAAAAGAAAATAATACAGACATATATACGTACAATAGACAACATAATGATGATAAATGAAAATGGTATAAGAAAGGTGAAACAGAATTACATCACCGAGTTCGACGAAGAAAAAGCAGGAAAAAAGTTCTTTCGATATTTCTCGTAAGCTTTCCTTCTTCGTCTTATGTTTTTCGTAAGATATATATCACAGCGGTAATTGAAGACAACAATGATGAATTTTTTTTTTTTTTTTTTCTTAGAACAATGTCAAGTTAATATTTATACTTGCTAAATAATAGCTGGCAATCCACATCTACAATCTTCAACAACCAGATTTGGTATATATTTACGTAAAACAGGTCCACCATTTGTAATTGTATACATAAGTTCAAGACCACCTGTACGTGAAAATGAACAACAATGTATTGATTGTTGATCAGCTTGATTAGTTTTTGTTTTTGTTATACTTTTATTAGAATTTAAATTATAACGATGAAGTAAAGCAAGATTATGTGCTGCATTTGGATGATTTTTTTGTTGGGCATTTTTAACTTCAGTAAATTTAAGTGATGTACCACTTGTACCACATAAACCAACACATTCACCAATATCAATTTGTCTTGGATGCATAACAAAATTTAATGCATCACTACCTTGATCAAAATCAATTATAAGTGGACGTCGACAACATGGACTTTTTGGATCACAAGATCGTGCAGGACGTGGATGATTTATTTCACGTGTACCACGATGTCCAGATGATAATGATGAAATTATTCTATTATCATATTCAACTAACATATATGGTAATTGTTGTTGAACATCTTTATTATTATTTTCATTATGATTTGATTTTAAAAATTGTTCAAAACGTTTTCTTGAATAATAACGACGATGATAAGTTTTCCATGATGATTGAAATTCATGATTAATTGCAAGTCCATACCATGGCATTAAAAATTGTTTATATATTTGTTGTATATTAAATTTTGTATTATTTGAATCAATAGTTAATTCTAACCAATCATCATTTAATTTTTTTATTTGACTTATTGATAAACGTAATGTATCAGTAAAACCAGAAAATGGTTGATATGATGTATTATTTGATGTTGGACGAAATACTTGATAAATTTGAAACATATTTGGTGTTAAATAATTTTCATATTCATCAATAAAATTAAAAAAATTTTTTTTTATATAAATACGTATTTGTTTAACATTTTGATTTGTTGGTAAACTTGTTGATGTATGTAAGGATTTTGAAAAATAATAACAATTAATATTTTGTAAGAATTCTTCATTAATATGTAATTTTATTGATATTTGTCTTTGACATGTATGATATGGTATTATTTCACTAGGTAATATAGCACGTTCAGTTGTTGGTTGATTATTAATAAAATTTTGTTCTTGTTCATATATTTTCATTTCTTCATTATGTTTAATATATTCTTGTTCTTGTGCTTGTTCTTCAAGTTGTTTAACAATTGATGATGGAATACCTGTACCATCATTATTTTGTATTGTTACATTAGGTGGTTCTTTTAAATTTAAACGATCAATTAAAAGACGTATAAATTGTTCAATTTGTTGTTCATTTGCTTGATTATCAATATTATTTGATGATAATGTTATTGATTCTATCAAAGAATCATCCGTATTTAAATTTGTATTTATATCATCATTAAATGAATATGATGAAGATATAAATGGTATTGTTGATATTGGATAACGTCGTTTTGAATTTATTCGAAAACGAGCTTGTAAAAATGATGATGATAATAAAAGTATTATATTTAAAATAATAAACCAAGATGTCATTATTTTTCCTTTATCAAAAAGTTGTGTAAAAATATTTTCAATCGATGATAATTATAAGGATGTATGTATGTGGATTTACTTTTAACACTATATATATATATGTGTGTATGTATGTTGTGTCTTGAAATACGAGAAATCTTTTTTTTATTTGAAATAAATGTTAGTTGTAAAATTGATGACGTCAGTAGATAATAGTAGATGTGTAGGTGGAATTGATATCATTTATGTTTTTGACTTAGCGAGAAATAACCGAAGACAAACGGGAAAGAGAGGGAGAGAGAGAGAGAGAGATGACGATGAACAATAACACAACAACCGGAAGAGATGAAGGAGAGAGAGAGAGAGAGAGAAGAGAATATGAGAGAAACTATGCAATAACTATCTTTCTCGTTTTTTTCTTTTTATCGCTCTCTTTTCTCTTTCTTTACTCTGTTGAAGGCGTTACCACTTCCTTCTATTTTATTTCTTGCTGTAAAATTGATATTAAACACGATAATATTAAGCAATGTTATTAAGAGAAAAAAAAAACAAAACAAAACAAAAAGAATTAACAATAAATAATTAAAAAAAATAAAACAAAGAACAAACAAAATAGTCTTGTCTTGATAATCATCGCATGATTTTACGTGCATATTTTGAATTCAAAGAACAATTTTTTTCTTTGAAAGATATTTGATATATATGTACTTCTAAGGTCGACAAAGGACATCGTGTCTGTATCGATTTAGATTCACCTTTAGTACTCCGATGGCGGTACTTTTATCAAAAAAATCTTTTATTTAAAAAGTGATGTAATTATTCATTTTATTAAATATCAATCGGTATCAATTCATAGGATTCTTTAATTTCTTCACATGAATTATCTACACATAAACTTTTGTTGAGTTTTTATAGAAAATATTGAGCAAAAATAAAAAATGAGTATATAAATCATGTTTTTTTTTTTAGAAATTTTAATTTGTTTATTTATGAACAAACTACTAATATGTTTTTTGTTGTTCTGTTATAGAAATATTTATTATTTATTCTTTCTCTTTTGATAGAGATTTTTCTCGAGCTTCATTATTTTTGTTATTCACATCGGTCAACTTGAACGATGGCGCGTCGATTATTTCCAGTTATGCTCATCTTTTCTAGAATAGAGTCGATAGACATAGGTCAAATTCTACTTCTTCTTTATTCTGTTATTGTTTTTGTTAGCTACTATTCACTGATAATGAGAATGATTGAGGTCAAATGCAATCTTGCATACCGTCGGCATCGTCTTTTTTTTTTCTGTCAAGAACAATTGTTCATCATATATATTTTTTCCTCTGGTATATACAGTTGTGATTAATGTAAATTTGCGTAAGACAAAAACAAAAGGTCAAATAAATTGTGTAGGCGTCATAACAATAAATCTTAAACATAATAATTATTATGAAGACATTCATTCTATGAATCATAACATTATGTTTATATGTGTGTGTAGTTGAAGGGCAATAATATCGAGACATAGGATTTTTTTTATTTTTTACATCATAAAGTATTTTCTTATAAATGAGAAACATATGTCTATCAAAAATGATTTCATTTCGAAAACTAAAAGGCAATAGTTATCTTAATAAAATTCCTTTTTGTATAATTTCATCTATTTGTTTTAATTAAATATATATAATTACTTACAAAGAATACGTAATTCAATATCTTTACTAACAACATGTCCATTGACACCATTTGATGCTCGACATTCATAATGACCAATATGATGACGTGTAACATTAATTAAATGAAGTTGACCATTTGTATTATTAGTTAATATTTGATTTTCGAATTTTGTTTGATTATTTTCATCTTTATTTCGACGAAACCATGTTATATAAGGTATAGGTCGACCTCGAGCTTGACATTCCATTGTTACATTATCATATTCATTTATTATAACTGGTGATGATGTAGCATTATCAATAATCATTGGAGTTTCTATTTTCAAAATAAAAATTTTTTAATAATATTATATAAAAATAAATTGAAACTATAAGAAAAATAAAATATGTATCATATTAAAAAAAAGTTAAAATTGAAGATTTTTTTTCTCATATCTGCAAGTTCGAATAAAATTCAAAGACTTAAATGATTTTCCTATTGAATCGAAAACATGTGTATCATGTAGACTGTCACGGATTATGAACATTTTGGAAAAAGATCAAGCCCATGGTATACAGTACTTTTTAATACAATGAAGAATACCAGAAAAACTGATGCATAGAAATAAACATTGGCGATATTAATTCATCTTTGCCGAGACTTTTTCCTATGCAAAATTTTAAGTCAAATTTTGAAACATGAGTTTTTTTTGTTATGTTCTCAATTCTATTGAACAATACTGTAAAAATGGCATAGGTCGGCAGCAAAAGGTTATTGATCTAAACTCTTTTCAAGATATTCATAACACATTAGATTCTATATGACGTACATGCATTCGACTCAAAAGTAATTAATAAGTTTGAGAGCTTTCATCATTAGTGTAGAAATGATTTCCATGCTGAAAAATAAAATGTACTAAAAGAGTATTATAGAAAAATAACTTGAAGACCTTCAACAAATAATTAATAATCTATTTAAGGACTATTGTGGAAGCTTCTTGTAGGCTTTTTATGGTTGATGTTTGCTATGGTTTTCGTCTTTTTGGTACATTTCGATAAAGTTAAAAATGTACATGTCAACATTCCTTTTTCTTTTATTGTTGAGTCTCTAAAAATCTATTTCGTCGAGGAATTATTCATTTTTTACATGCCATCATTATCTTCTCGCAATGTTTCGTGTAATCGAATCGTATGTCTAGATATTTATGTTTGTGAGAAGCAAAATAGAAACTACACATTTTTATCAAATACGCAATTGATTTTCGTTTTGTTTTTTTGAATTTTTTTAAATACTATACTAAATGAAAGAATCATAGGACTGTTAAATTCTCATTGGATTACATTCGTAAACGAACTAGAATTTCAGAATGTAAATGATTAATATTTTTGATTGAATAATGATTTCTATATCGAAATACAACAATAAAAAAAGAAATTTCTATGATCTTCATGCTTAAAATAAAGTATTTGATAACTTCAATATATGAGTTTAATTAGAAAAACGATTTATTATTCATTCTGTTTGAATAAAATTTCATAGATTCATTTAATAATGTAATTTACTTAGAAAATAATAGTTATATATATTAAATAATGTTTTCTATGCATTCAATGGTTCGATATACAGTTAAATTCAGCAATTTATTAATATTTCAATGTTTATATGATATTCTTAAAGGTAATGATATATGAAAAGAAGATACTTCCATGAAACAACCTTATTCCTTAATAAATAATTAAACCTGTTCTTATTGTTTTCATTGATTCTACAGAATAAAATAGAATATTTTATATCAATTATTCAGAGAAAAATTTAAAAAAAAAGTTATTTAGAACAATCTCAATCATTCATATTTTCAGATATGCTTTTGAAACCTATTATACTCGATTGCTACGTCACTTTTTACATTCAATTAATTCAGTACCTATTCTTTCAATCTAAAATTATTGGTTAAATATTCGATCAAATAGTCTATGTAAATTTTATACAAGAATTATAAATGTAATTCGTTTTTTCTTTAATTTTGTCGAATCTAAGAGCTGAAGTATGAGATCAAAATTTTACTTTTCAAATTGATAATCAATCGAAGATTTCAATAGTGCTCGCATAAATGAAATTTTCTAATATCGAAAACCTTATTTAAAACTTTTTTCTTCAAAATACATATCTCGGTATTTTAGATGCTCTATCTATAAAAAAAACTTCATGTCGGTCGGTTTTACCTACTTAGAAAAGTAAAAATGAATAAAACAATGAAGGAAAAAGTATTTTTCAGGCCATTAACTAGATCTAATCATTAGTCATATCTATCAGAGCTGTCCGTCGCGGCGCTGCCGCTGCCGCGATGGCGGTGGCGGCGCGGCAGTGGCAAGTTTTTTAAAAAACCATCGCGACAGCGGCAGGATTTTTTTTGGAGGACATTGAAAAACTGTATGAATTTAATAGAATTTCAGGATTTACAAATGAAACGTCCTGATATTGAATAAATCTGGTGGACTAGTACCCATATCTCAGGTCAAATATAGTCACAGCAGTGAAATTAGAAACACTTTTTTGAAAACCATCGCGGCAGCGGCGCGGTAGCGTCGCGGCAACACTTTTTTATAAACCGTCGCGGCGCGGCAGCGGCAGATTTTCAGCCGCGATGGACATCTCTGATATCTATCTCATTTAAATTTAACCGATAGTTTATCATAAGATAGAAAATTTATTTCCAAAAAAAAAAGAAAACAGCGAAATAAATCTTTCTCTACATTAATTACGATTGAAAAGACAAAAAAAAGACAAAAATCTTTCTATAGTTTATATTAACTTAAAAATAACAAATATTCTTTTCCGAAACTGAATCACAACTATGACGACTATAATATGTTTGATGAGATAATATTGATGATATAGTTTGTCTACGTCTAGTTTTAGCCATTTTTTTACGTGATATAAAATTATTTGGAAAAAATTGCAATATAATTAATATATAACAAAAACAAGATGCGATTAATTCACATAATGATGATGCTACTTCATATTGTATTTCATGTTTTACAATATATATCCATTCTAATGTAACTGATGCTGTTACTGTAACAACAAATATATATAAAACTGCTTTAATTCTCATACCATGAAAACGATGATAATATTCAGCAAAAAATTCAAATAATATATAAAAAGCTATATTATCTCTTGTTAATGTTATAAGATGTTTATTAAAGAAAACTGGTATAAATATAGCAAGTAAAACTTCTAAACGTGACATAAAACGAAATAAATGTCGTTGTTCAATTGACATATGAACTCGAATTGAACGATCTTTTGCAAATACACGACAATAAATTAAACAACCAAAATAAATAGCATCTATTGTTCCACACATTGAATATAATATAAGAGAAAATTTATCATCTTTTTTTATATATGATAATAAATGACCTAATGTACCAATTTCTGATAATATCCATAGAAATAAATGATAAAAAAAACGTGTAAAACGTGAACGAATTGGTACACAATATTGAAGATAAGCAAAAACACTTAAAATTGATGAAAGTAAACCTTCATATCCATTATCTACTATACCATTAAAATGATAATAAAAAACATCAAATATATATGCTGCTTGTGCAAATATAGGTAATAATACAGTTGCAACAACAAATATTTTATCATCAGATCGACTTAAAAGTGATGATGATGTTTCAGAGTCACTAGTGTGCATTATCAAAAAAAAGAAACTAATAGCATTGAATTGATCGATTAAACATATATCATATATATACATATAATATGCGCCTGTTAACTTAATCAACTTTTCGATCAATCAAGCGTGAACATTGAAACATTTTTTTTTTCTTCTTCTATGTAATACAATCGAAATATATTTTACTAATTCATTCAAAAATTAGTCATAAAATAAGTGGGTATGGTGGTCAATAAAATAGTAAAACAGTTCAATTATAAAACGATTATCAATAAAAGATGTCTAAGTAACAACATGAAGCGAAGGTGAAAATGTCAAATATTACTAGTTTAAAAAAATATTTTTAAATAGAAAATAGATTGAATGAATTAGTTAAATATGAAAATGATGTTACATGAACAAATAATTATTCTTTGAATATCATTCTTTTAGAATTTTTGTTTTTAATTTTTTTTTTCAACTCATTAAAATATAATGTATTTAAAAATAGAAATTTTTACAATAGATTATTATTTATGTTTATCCATTTCGATTTTTAATATATTTATATAATGAATAATTATTTTATTTAATCTATCACAGTCCATGAAGAGAAAAGAAGATTAAAATTTATACATCAAATACTCTTTTTTAGATCATGTTTCATAAAACAAATGATCTTCGTAGAAAATTGTGCTTTTGTTTTTTAAATACTCAACGTCTAGAAGGAAATCAAAAAATGTAATGTTGACCTAGGTATCCTTTATAAATGGCTTTTAACAAACTATACGAATGAGTGCAATTAGAATGCATCAACAAATGACAGTAACAAAAAACTGTTCAAAAGCGAATCCCATTTAGTTTTAATAATCGATGTTTTTATAAAATAGAGATATTGACTTTGTAATTACTACATCGTGAACTATTTGATTACTACTTTGTACTTCCGTATTGTAATTTCGAAAAAGAAAAACTACATAAAATACATATCAATATTCAAAATAGATTCTAAAAATATTGTAAATGATCTAGTCAAAGATGATTACTTTTAAAAATTACGAAGTTGAATGGCAGATTGTCTTTCTGCCATCTATATCACTTGAAACATGTTGATCAAATCAATTGTTATGAAATCTTCTTTTCTAAGTGTATTCAAAAGATAAATTACAATTAGGAATATCATAACAATTTTCTTTTCCTCATATTTAAACATCGATCAAATTACATCAAAAAAATTCATATGGATTATGTAGATTGTCTTATCAGTTTAGTGTCAAAAAAAAATGGAGATTTTTTAAGTAAAAATAATGATGAATAACAGGACATATTAATACTCATTGTATATTGTATTAGTAATAAGAAGTGTTGAAAAGCAATTCCGTATATGTTTCTGTTTCATATATATATACATAGACAAAGAAATGTCATCATTCCTTTAAATAAACATACTTCTTTCGCTTCAATACACTTCTATATATCTATATGCCAGAGCTCCCGATCATCATCATCATTTACCAATTTTCTTTAACATTCTAAATAGTAACAACGTTTACCTTTTATTTCATCTTTTATATTTGTCTGGGATTCTCATTTTCTTATGTTTTTAATATAAACAATTCGAATTAACACTTTGACAGACTTAGATAATAAATTTTTATAATAGACATCTTTTCGAAATGTATTATCTTTATTTTTTAATTTTCAGAGAAAAAAAAACAAATTCACTTACCTTGAACATATAAATAAATGATTGCTTTTTTTGGTGGTTGTGTATTAACTTCACATGCATATATTCCTTCATCTTCAATTTTAACATCAATTATTGTTAATGTATAATCAATATCAGTACGTTGAATATTTAAACGATCATCTGATATTAATAAATCTTGATTATGTGCTAAAATTAAATCAGCATCATATGATGCATGACTTTGTCGAATCCATATTAATTGATGTGATGATAAAAGTGATAAATCCTGATTTATATTATCAAATATACATGTTAAAATAGCTTTTTGACCACTGATTACTGTTACATTAGAATATAATGCTTCAATTATTGTTTTATTTTCGCCTAGAGTACAAAACAAAGTATTCTATATAGTATTGTAAAAAAAAGATAATTATTGATGCTTAAAGCAAATATTATCCTTGATTTATTTTATATATTATATTTAGAACTCATCAAACATTCATAGAAGCAAAGACAGAAAAATGAACGAATAACAGGCGTTATTCTCAACTGAATTAGTTTTTTCTTTCACAATTGATAACAGACATCCCCAATGAACTTATAAAATGTGTTGAAATGTAAATTGATGGTATGCGCAATTGAAATTTGCATAATGATGAACAAAGAAGAAAAAAAATAAATAAGACGAGAAGATTGATCTGTATTATTCTGACCATTGTCCACGGCAATTACGGGCAAATGATCCATGATATGTCTGATAGTTAGCATTGGGTTAACATCTTTTATGATGAAAAATAATATGACATAATCTTTCGTCACTTTCTCTTTTCCAAGGTAAATAAATCACACTAGTGCAGATAGAATAGTTCAATATCAAGACCACCCTTTGTGAGAGATGCTGTGTATGTATATTGATATATATATATGATGTAAGTATAATCAAAAGAACTTGTCAACTATTCAAGTGGATGGACGACAACAAGTGTATCAATAAATAGGTGATGATAATCAAGGTTGCTAAGGAATTACTATAGCTGGACAATACTACATCTCTCATCATATGTTTATATATATATATATATGTATGTAGAGAGGAGATGATATAAATTATGCAAATTACAGCTGAATTTCAATATTATCACAACGTATGTATATCTGTGTAGTAAAACAGCCGTTTTACATCATCACCATACATATTCATATATATATATATCGTGCATTTATGACTTGGAAAAAATCCTTGTGCCTTTTTGTTGTCACGTTTATACCATGAATGTATTATAATATATACAAGAAAAACTATATATATATATATATATATGTATGATTTTTTTCCAGATAAGCATACGTTTGATTTTAATCTTATACTTATGAACATTAATAATATTCTTACCATAAATATCGATAAGAGATGATACTTTCATAATGAATACAAGACTAATAAAAAATTTCTCCAACATTGTATTATTTGTTTTTGTTATTAATTTGATAACAAAAAATAAAAATAAAAATAAACGAGAATAAATATCGTCACTTAAATAAAGAGACCACTTGGTTGTCGGAACGATAAAACACAATTGAGACAATAACAGAGAGTAGAATAAGATGAGTTTTATGGTATGTGTTGCTTCCTGCTGTTGCCGTTGAGTGTTATGTGATAGTAGAACTTGCTGAAGATTTTTTTTTTCTTCTTCTCTTCCCTCTCTCTCTCTCCTTCTTTCGCTGTTCATATAATAATCGCACAAAAGAGAACAATCATTGCATTGAGATAATTGTATGACTGACTTTTTATTATTATATGTTCGAGTCAGTAAAAAAAAAAAAGTCCTTGGTTATGTCGGACGAACGATGATATTAAAAATTCAATTCATTGTAATTTTTTTTTTTTTCAACGGCTGTAATCATATCAAAGAACTCTAAGTAGAAAAAAAACAAGAATAAATCTATTAGATATTAAAATAAACTAATATAATGGAAAAAAAAAAAGCATTGCTAAATATTTTACAGTTGTAAACGATTAAACAATAAGAATCATAATATCAAACTAATACTACAATTAAAATGAAAGATTAATAATTTATAAATATATAACAAAGTGAACAATCAGATATCATCTTATTGAATATAGATAAAAATCAATTGATGAGTGCTAATCGATGAATAGCCTATTGAATATGAAGTAGTATTTTAGCAATTGAATCACATTATTTATGCAAATAATGTATTACAAGCGTTTCAATTTAATAAAATTGAATTTAATAGATATGCTATTTACACATATAAACTTGATAGATTTCATCGTAAGAACTTTCGTTTCTTCTGTTGTTATTCACTTGAGTTTATTTAGAAATGAACAACAGAATATCATGACACTTTCATGAAAACATGTAATTAACTTCTCAAAGTTCCTTAATCGACTTTTAGAATTGTTAGAAAAATAGCTATATTTTCATAATAAATTAGTTTCCAAAGTCGAGATACAAGTTGATGTTTGATATTCTTAAGAGAAACTTTACATTCTGCTCGAATTATTCAAATAAGGTTGAACAAACAGACTCGTAAATGATCGTTTATTGACGTATGACATCGTTCAGTATTACGATCATATTTCTTCATATCACATGCGAAGAAATACAATCTTCTATGGATGTAAACGTAACCGTTTATGAAAACTGTATATAAATTCCGTTTTTCTCAATATCTCGCTATGAACAATCGTAAAGTATACCAGATTTCGTATTCTTTATTTTGAAATAATTCTTCTCGATTGAATTTGAATTCTAATACGAGTAAATTTCCGTTTCTAGACCCTATTCTGTCAACTTATTCATAAATTCAGTTTTCATGATTTGTTAGTAATATCATACCATGATAGTTTAATGCGAAACGACTACAACTAATCTAATTCATATTTTTAATTAACATTTAGATTTATTGCAAAAAATTTATTGAAAAAAAAACGAGTAAAAAATGGAGATTATTAGTTGGAAAAGTATAATATATTTAATTAATCTGCAATAACTTTGATGAATAATGTAAGTTCGATATAACACATATTATGTGTCTATACTTATTATTTGATATATAATTTTACAATGGTCGTCATAAACATATATGCATGTGTAAAAAAAAAAAGGAATTCAGTATTTTAAATCTTCGATACATTGCACAAATACGTGAAGAAAAGTTAAGAGAAAATATTATCAGAAATATTGTTGTTCAATGATAAAAATGAAACAACAAGAATAAGAAATTAAATACAAATAAACACAAAACAAATGTAAATAATTATTTTGTGTGTGTGTGTGTTAAAAATAGATTCTCTTAATCATTTTTTATATGTTCTTGTTCGTTTGGAATATCTGATGATGATAATAATTTAGTTATTTGAATTGTAAGAATAGCACCCGCAAATGTTAAACAAGGCACACAAGTTTTTAAATAAAAATCCGAATATGTATATCTAATAAAAACAAAAATCTTTTTGAATTTATTTACCAAAAAAAAAATAATAACTTACTGAAGTGCACCAGCACGTAATAAAATTTCTATAGTCATTGTTAATATTAATGATAAAAGAATTGAAAATATAAAATTTATTATACTTCGATCAAACCACCACCAAAATGCTATACATAAAAATGCTAATGTTAATGTAAAATGAAGATCACTTTGAAATGGAATTTTCTATGAAACAAAAAAAAAGAAATTTAATTTTACAATATTTTATTTTTTCTTAGAAATATTTAACTTACAACACATAAATGATTAATTCCAAGAAATATTACAATTGCTTTACAAAGTTCAGATTTTCGTACTATATTATTATTATGTTTAAGAACAGATGTTCGTTCAAATGAAGTAATAACCATAGGATAAAGAAAACCGACTAATGCTGTTATTAAAAAAAAGAAAAATAATGAAGACGTTTTTTTTTTTGACAAAAAAATTACCAGCACCAAAACCACATATCGATATAAGACTTAAACTAGGTAAAGTAAGCATAAGACGAGGAGAATTAAATAATCGTAATTTATGTTCATATTGAAATATCATAAGAACAACGGCTAATATACAACCAAAAGTAAATAATTTTATTGATCGTATTGAACAAAAAGAAACACTGTCAATAAACATTGTTGTCATTGATATTATTATTTTATCTATCTGGATAGAAGACAAGAAAATAATATTCATTCATATATATATATAAGTCCGATGATCATAAAATACTGGTTTCATTTTCTTCCTTTAGTAACCATAATATAACGATAGAAAGAAATAAAATGAAAGAAAAACAAAAACTAATACACGAATATGATTGGATTTTGTACGTTTATAGACTTATCATAAATACTTGTAAATTTATATTGTTTTTCTCATAAATTTATTCTATTGAAAAAACATTTTATTATTAGTTTATATAATGTCGATCATATGGTTGATGACAAAAATGTTGTCGTTGATCTTTTTTTTTACATTAGCTATCTTCAATAGAACAAAAAAACAAACAAATTTGTTTTTAAAGTCAAACATTTCTTTTTTTTTTGGTCTCTTTCTTTCGTCATACATGCACGCAACAAAAAAATTTTTTTTTCCCCTGTCTCATTCGAAACCATTTTAGTTTGCAAAGACACACACACACACACACACAAAAAGAAAAAACAGTAATTGTTAAGTTTTTTTTTTTTCCATGAAACATTAAACACACATTTATATATATATATAGTCTTTCTCTTTCTGACTGGAATGATGTTTTTTTTTTTTTTTTTTGTAAATCGGGAGAATCTAATGATATGAAAGAGTAAGAAGTGTTGTCGTTGAACTTGCTGCAGGAAAAAGTTTATGATAAGATTGTGTTGGTATATAATTTCCAACAACAGTACGACCAGAAAAGAATCGACCATGAAGTGAATTAACTGCATTGATCGCTAAAACAAAACTATTAACAAGTCTATAGTATTCATTTATAGAAAACTTACCACTAGCTATAGTCGAACATTTAACATAAACATTTCCATCAGAACTTTTTTCATCAACATATATATGAACAACACCACCATGTTTATTACATTCTTCAATAACTTCATCACGAATTTCTTTAGCCCAATCAGGATTATTATTTGCTTCTGTAGTTGGATCAAACATATTTGAAAGCATAAAACATTGTGTACTAACAGCTGTTACTGTTGCTAATTGTTGTGGATTAGGTGGTTCAGGTATACGAACATGTTGTGAACCAGCTGCTTGCATATGTGCAGCTTGTAATGCATCAATAGCATGTTTTGGCATTTGTAAACCACTACCTTCACTTAATTTAGCCATTAAAGCTAAACGTCCAGTTGCACCTAAATTAATACCACGATGATCAAGATCATCCGAATCAAGATTTGATGTTGATGTAAATGATGATGAAATACCACCGGTATATGTTGGAAATGTTGTATTATTTGTATTAGTCATATCACCTGGTCGTTCAGTAACATGACCAACTTTCATTGGTCGTCCAGCTAATTCAAAACCATTTAAATTTTCCATTGCTCGTTTAGCATCTTCGGCATGAGCAAATTGAATAAAACCTTAAATAATATTATTTTCTAATTGATAAAACATATTGTTTTTTTTTTCTACTTACCATATCCTCTTGATCGACCAGTATCAGGATCTTTCATAAGTGTAATATTATCAATACGTCCAAATGGTTCAAATATACCACGTAACATATCTTCAGTTATATTAAAATGTAATGAACCAACATATAATTTCATTGGTCCATGTGTTGGTATAACTGTTCCAGAAAGTGCTGTTATACCATTTGTCATAACTGAATTTTGAGCAGCAGCAGCAGCAGCTGCTTGTGCAGCTAAACGATTTTTTTCAGCATTTGATGGTTTAACAATAATTGGTATACCAAGAACTTTTTCACCAGATAAAGCAAGTGCTGCTTGAACACATGTTAAATCACGAAATTCAACATATGCAACACCTTTTGATCGACGTGTACGAGGATCTGTAATTAAACGTACATCACGAACTTTACCAACACGTGAAAAAAATTCTTCAAGATCACGTGGTCGAATCATTGCTGCTAATTGCATACCTAAAAATATAGAAAATTACTTTTTTAAATTTTAAATTTTTATTCTTACAAAATACTGTCCGAAGATCTCGTTCTTCTGGTGTTAATTCTGGTGATTTTTCACGACGTGTTGATTTAGATGTTGAACGATCTTTTGAATTTCTATGTCGATTTAATGTTTGAGCTAATTGATGTAATTCCGAATTAACATCACGTCGTTTTCCACTAGATAATGTTGGTGGTGTTGGTGAACGATGACGACGATCATTAATTGGTGAACGACTTCGTTTTCGTTCATGTTTTTTATCATTTTTATGTGATTTATGATGTTTATGATGTTTATGTTTTTTATGTTTTTTTTCTTTATCTTTATCTTTATCATTTTTTTCTCCATTTTGATGTTTATTTATTTGTTCATCTTCATGCATTTTTTCTTCAAGCATACGTTCAATTTCAGTATCATCAGCCATTTCCTATCTAGAAAAAAAAAAAAAAAAAAAAAACGACAAACAAAAAAACATTAATAAATATAATTATTTTTACCTCAATCCAATTGAATAATATAGAGAAAAAAGGATGCCTATAGATAAACGAAAAGAAGAGAAACCCAATGATTATTTTATTATGTTTTTCTTTTTTTAAAGAATACAGAATAGGAATTGATTGTGTAGAACCACTCCTAGAATAATAAACTATGATATTTTCAATATACAAAAACAATTCCATGGAAAACGAAACGTCTGTTTGTGTGTAGGATTGATATTGTACGTAGATGAGCTTCTAAACAAGGATAAGTCTTTCTTTGTTTTTTGTAATTTCAATCAAAAAAAGAAAATTTCAGATATTTTTGTTTCCTTCTCGATTAGGAACTTCTATTTGAATTTGAAACAAAGGAATAAAAAAATATATACAAAAATACTCACGAATTGAAAAAAGAAGACTTGAATGCAAGTTGAATCGAAGAAAATTGATTAAACAATTGGAATTGAATATCTTAGAATAATGATGAAAGTAACGCCATTTAAAAAACATATATTCAAGTCCTCCAATGATTATCCAATCAATTTTTTTTACGCCATCTATCGATCAATGTTGCTAAAAACAACAACATGCTATTAATATCAAATATTGTAATCTTTGCCAAGATCTTTCAGGAACTTGAAAGAACTACAGTGTGAGTCGATTGAATTTTTCCTCTTTATTTTTTATTACTGTAGTTCTTTTATTTATTAATCTACTATATAGACGAAGAAAGCTCCGCACGTGCTGCATCTTTTGGTGTATTTATGTTGAAGAATAAAATACAGTTGCAAATGTAAAGATTAGATTAGAAAAAAAAATGACATTTTTTATTTCGTATATATCTCAGATCAGATGAACGATAAAACCTGCAATGATTGAATTCTTTTTTATACATAGGTGTAGGTAGGATTTACAGTCATTGTCTGATTGCGTGCTCTCGTCATTGCAGAGTTGCTCACCGTATGTATGACGTACACACAGAACATGCAGTGCGTGTTCTGTTCGTGTACTACACATAGACTGAGACGTGCTCATGTATGATATGCCCACCGATGTCCTACCGTTCGGCATGAGTAATCTGAAAAAGAACACCGAAAGGAAAAGTCTTGATGATAGAAAAGAAAATGTCGCAATACAATAATCATACACCGTATGCATTCACACTAATAAAAGAAATAACGTATTTTTACACTTTGACACGTTAAATATCTATTGTTTTTGTAGAAAATTGAATTACTATTTTTTCGATAAGATTCATAGCCGCGTCAAAGTGGTCCAGTCTCGGTCATTGATTTATTTTTTAACATGTTTTCAACTAAATTTTACTACAGTACGATACGTTTTATTTTAGTACGTTGACTGAGCCGAATGCCAGAAGTCAAATTTATCGATGATAGAGAATATTTCATATTGTTTTGTGTTTAAATATAAATCAAAAAACACTTTAACAAGCTTATGAGTGATGACAAATTCAGTCTGTCAGTCTTACTTAGATACGGTCACGATTACATTTCACACATTGAAAAAATATGAATATAGTAGTACTTGTCTAATGCTACTTTCATTATCACATATGGCATCAGCATCCATAAACAAAACTATTTTCATTCAAATAACAATTGTTCTATCGAAATGTCAAGAAACCAAAGGTTAATTTTATTTTAAAAATTCATTTGAATTAGAATTGGAATTGTGTAGCAGTATATGACACGAGTAAAATTCATAACTACAAGTAGACAATTTTTAAAATATTGTACTTAGGTCAGTCCGACAGTAGTGAGAGTAACGCTTTAATGCCATATAGTAAACTGAAGGAGAGTTTCTTTTATTATGAAACGATAGAGAAAAAAATTCTCTATCTTTCTATGCTATTTGATCATACTTTAGTTAATATTATGATAGAAAAGTTTTCATAAGATTCGTTTTGGTATTATATGTTTCCCAGTGAAAAATATTTGTAAAAAATAACGGTTGAGAATGCGTTCCAAAAAATTGAAAGCCCTTTTTTTAAGGGTGTGGGTGGGGTATGGACGTGGGTGTGGACGTGGATGTGGGTGGGGTATGGGTGTGGGGTGGGGGTCTTTGTTTATACACATCCACACCACTCCCACACCCAGACCCACCCACACCCCACACTCCACACCCACATCCTCATTGTTTACGATGGACATTTTTTTCATTTGATTTATCTAACTTGATTTCGATTACTTTAAATACATTCGTTCACAAAAGCATTGAAAAATGGCCTCGACGGCACGTGACATTGAAAACTAGACTAGCTCGAAGGACGTGATATTCATTCTTAAATCGAGCTACCTACACGGATCATCCTGAATATATGTTTTCGCTTGTTTCCATAATACGATCATTTTTGTCTCTCTATCTATCGATTCCGCTTTGCGGACATTTTCCAACGTGCGGTCATTTGTGTCTCTCCCCCTCGATTCTACTTTGCGGACATTTTTTTCCTCCAATTAAGGAAAAATGACCGCAAAGTAGAAGACACGATATAAAGTGATTTAAGATTAGAAACAGAATTTTTTTGTTTATTATGATTAGAAAAGAAATCTTGATAAATTAAGTCAAATGAAATTGAATTATTTCCATCAGAATGAATATTTTTAATATTGGATAAAAGAAATGATGAATTTAATATGAATGGTAATAGTATAGAAGAAAACGTTTTATATGATAAACCGAGTTGATTAATAATAATTCCTTTTTTATCTATTGAAAATACTGAACCAATAATAGAATTAATACGTTGATTTAATGACCAAAATGACATTAATATTTCATGCCATGATAAGTAAGAAAATATATAATGAAGTATTTCATTTGGTAATGTTTCAAATTTGCTTACCACATTATCGAAAAATAAAATGATTTTCTTTTATTTCTTTCATTTCTCATTTGGCTTTGTTTTCAATAATGAAAAATGAACCTCAATTGATTCTGAAGTTTTCTCAAACCCAGATGTTCTTTCATTTAGTGTCAATCATACAAAATAAAACCTGATACGAAACAACTGAAAGTTAAACAAAGTTTCTTCGAAATTTGTACTGATCAAAAGTTTACAATGTAATTGTTCATATGGAGATAATCAAGAAACTCTTATAATTGATGTCTTGCATAACATGATATTGTCTTGTTCATGACATATAGCAACTAATAACAAAGATTAGAGAGGTCCGGGCCCCTTCAGACTAAAGCTCGTCGAGTTCAACATTTTCAGATCCGAAACCGAACCCGGCTTACTAGAACCCCACGGGTTCTATCGATAACGTAAACAAAGAAAATTTAAAAAAAATGATAGCTGTGATTATACTTTGAGTGATAGCGAAGATGTCATAAGCAATATTATAGAATGAAATCAGATATTGTCTGCTTTATGTATTTATATTTACAATCAGATTTGGATATTATATTCAATAACAAGATTTTATTGTTTTGTTTTTCCATTCTTTTGATAAATTAATATAAGATTACTTCTTGAATAAAATGAATGAGAATTGAAAATATATTCAAAAATTTTATTACCATGAAATGTTTTTTGAGATCTGGACCCGGTCAAAAGTAAATTTACAAATCCGGACTCAGGTCCGAGTCTAGAAAGTTAATATCTACCGGATCCATGTTCATAAAAACGTGGACCTGCCACTGTCTAACTGAGATCCCAGTGAGACGAATCAGAAATAGATTCAGCTCAATGCAAAGTAAATGAAAGTCGATTCCATTTATAGAACGAACCATTTCAATAAAAGTTCAGCTTCAACACTATTTCTTCATATGACAGAAAGAAACAAAATGCTTTCAACTACAATCTTCAGTAAATCAGTGACGCTTCTAGGATAACAATAATGAAACAATACTCATCAGTAGCTATAAGTGGATCCAATGTTTTCTTTCATCGGGACCTCGGTAATTTTTCCGGTAGTTTTAGCTTAGCGAAAAACTCTTTCAGAATTTATTCCAATTAAATTTAAAATAAATCTTCAATACATCTGCGTTCTGATTCATTTATTCGGCAACTAACATTTAATTTACTTAAAAACGTATAATATTCTTCTATGAATTTGGCTTCAGATCTTGATAAATTTGTCGTATGTCTCGATTTTATTAAAGTTTTTTTCGTGTTGGTTCAGAAAATGTCTAATCAAAAGTCAAGAAATTATTTGTTGGACTATTTCTCAGATAGTCTTATGACATTACTTATTAGACAAATTATGAGAAGACAGACTATCGTATCTAACTCTTAATAAATAAACAATGATATTAAATAAAAACTAAATAATGTCAAAAATGACTCCTAGAAAAGCTTACATCGTTATCTTTACTTAAGAAATAAAAAGAATTTTAAAGACATCTTAGGAATAAAATCAATAAAAATATAAAATCGTTACGCTGCACATTATAACTTACGTATTATTTTCAATAGAAAATATTGAAATTATTAATAATAAAAACTTATTTGATAAAATATTTCTATTTAATGAAAGACAAGTCAATGATCTTGTTTTTTATTATTGTAAAAGAAAAAATACACATCAATATTGTCATGAGAATGTTTCAGATAAAGAAAGTAACATGTTATTTTCTCTCTTTTTTCGTGTTGTACATGATCAAAAAGCGTGACCCGACAGTTGAGCTCCCGACAGATGAGCCCCGACAGTTGAGCCCCGACAAATGAGCCCTCGACAGTTGAGCCTACCGACAGTTGAGCTTCCGACAAATGAGCTCCCGACACTTGAGCCTCATATTAAAAAAAATTTAATAAAGCCTGATGAATAATACGTCGTGGTGGATCATGCGATATTGTTGCACCAGAACTGATATTTGATTTGAATTCCACTCATATTGTTTCTTCAGGATTTTGTGCATGAAGATGATCCGTAACTTTAATATAACCTGTTCCATCAAAACGTACACGACCAGCACAGTCATTTCGACAACAACGCCAAATAATTTGAGATTTATTTGCACGACGATAATGATAACCACTAAGTAAAAGTTGATCCTTGTTTTTTGAAGATTTCACGATTGACATTGTTAATGATAATAGAAAAATATACCAAGAATGATAAAACCTTTATGAGTCACAGAAATATTGTTCGAAAAACTTGTTCATTTCTGTACAGATGATTGACTTAGCCACGAAAAATATATCGACGAGCCATCAGTACCATCGAAAGATGTCTCATGTTTCCGTGCACTAGTTTCAAGTGAATTAAGCGATTCAATAATAATTTCGTGTGTTCTATATTTAATCGATGAAATTTCAATTTTCTGAGGCTTAAATGTCGGGAGCTCATTTGTCGGGAGCTCAACTGTCGGTAGGCTCAACTGTCGGTAGGCTCAACTGTCGAGGGCTCATTTGTCGGGGCTCAACTGTCGGGGCTCATCTGTCGGAGGCTCAACTGTCGGTGCACCATCAAAAAGATATACATTCAATTCTGTTTTTCTCTTAAAATGAATTGATTCGACGAAAAAGTTCATCTCAGACGATAAAGATACAATATTTATGGTCATTTTTTTTAATCTCTTCTTCTATTGCTTTTTTGGTGTTGACGAGGAAGACGAAGAAAAAAACAAACAAGACGGTGATTGCGGCAGTTTAAGAAAAGAAACAATGACCAATAAATTTCTTTTAAGTTTATTTTAATCCAATTTCACTGAAATTTTCAATAACTGTGCAAGACTTGTGTTAATAATATTTATCTACCTTAGTAATAGTTCATAAATTGTTGTTAAGTTCATTTCTAAAAATAAATTTCTTTTGAATAAAATCTTTCCAAGAATAAATCCGAAGTGAATTATTTATAAGCGATAACGATTGAGGAATTTATGAAGTTGTAGAAACATGGCAAACAGAAATATCATGGTATTATTAAATGATTGACTATTTTTCATTGACGAACATAGCAATACATATAACAATTTTGAATTCTTGCAAGTGTTGATGCGGTTAACAGAGTCTGTTTTTCTTTCGAAACCTGACATACCGATCTGTGTGCATCTTTTGTAGGCCCACACCTTAGGTGGCCCAGCAGAAATACTGATTTAAAATATATTAATGAACTTCAAGGAAAAAACTCATGTCATCAATTACTGAAAAAAGATTCTACATTCAGCCGTTGTTGTTTTGAATCAGTGCCAGTATGCTGTGAGATGTTAGAATCGACATCTTATTCAGATACGGTCATGAGGATTTTACATCTCTATCTACCTGATCGTACTAATGGGTTTATGTTTTTCTCTTCTCTTAGTACTGCATGATAAATTTTTTCTTTCTTGTCACATACATACATACATATACATATATGTACGTAATAGGTCAATCTTAGTTTTAGACCAATCTAAGTTTCACCCAGACCATTCTGAGATTCATGGTTAAACTAATCAAATCCCGTATCAAGGAAGAAGTTTTCATAGAACCTTTCGTAATTATACATTTATAAATTGGATTAAAAGTCTTGTCGGTAAACTGTGTTGAGACAATCGTGTTTCAGGTATTACAATCGTTAATTTAAATGCTGAGTTCGGACTCTAATACTCATGAGTCAATTTCGATAAAACATGATCTTCTATGGCAATCCATCTATACCTTCACAAATTCTGCTTTTATTTCTTCATGGACGATTGTGATACGTGAATTACTATTATCTCAGCACAGTTCACCAACATAAATTTGTATTAAACATTTGTGTAGACAGTTTTAGAGGTTTTAATGGAAACCTCTTCTCTCTTGCAGGATTAGACTAGTTCAAATTGGATTTCAGAATGACCTGAGCAAATCCTAGATTGACCTCTGCTAGATATAATGGTTTAAGTATTTCTTTTTGTTTTTCCTTCTTTGATGTTGATCTATGTATATTTTTTTCTCGTTGGGTTTTCCTTCATGTTTATCATTGTTGAGACTTTTTCTGTCATATATTTTCATTTATGGGATTTTCCAATCTAATGGATTTTTTCTTCTTTTTCGTTCCATACTTAGAGTTGTTCAGTGGTTGCGAGAGAGATGTTTTTATTTGCAATAAAGTAAAAGTGGGAATGCAGATCTCATAGTCTTCCGAATTAATAATCAAAGCCATTCAGAGATCAATAAGTCATAATAATTAAAAAACAACTAGTGAAAAACTGTAACACACAAGCAAGAATTGGACACTTTATCAAAAACTATCTTCTAAAAGATTTCAATGTGGGTGTAGGTGTGGGTGTGAGACAAGACAAACTTCTTACCCACATCCACACCCGGGTATTGAACCATCATCAACAAAATTAAATACACCAATTTGATTTAAATAGAGAACGACCTTAAAGATTAAGAAAAAAGTAAAATTTATTATTTAAAATAATCAAAAGTCTGATTCCTAGTGAAAAACCAGCGGCGATGCAAATTATGACTTGATTTTAACTTCAAGATTGACTGAGAAATTTCCAGGATGTGTTAATCATATAATGGAATGGATCTAACATTATTAGAGAGATTATTCGATTCAAAAAGCGCGTTTGTTCAAATTCAGAGTACGAGTCGGATCCGAAAGTTTTATATAGCCAGATGAAAATAACAAATCATTATCAATTATTAAAGAAAGAGATTACATTGCCCTTCTCATTCTTTTTTCACTTTCATGGTCTCTGGTGACTTTTTTCCACGCTTCTCAAAAATATGGACTGAATCATAGTCTCAGAAAAATAGATTATTATCCTATGTCCTTTGACTAACATAGCTCTTTAATTTCTATTTAAGATTCAAAAACAAAAACTTCATATTTACTTCAAATTCAGTTTGTGACTGAACAGTAAGTCCTTCAAAACGACCATTTATTTCATTTAATGATGAAATAAATCTTGGTTCTGGTGCTTCGACTTCATGTAATATTTTCGTAACAACTTTTGATATTTCTCTAACATCTCTATCAATTGCATTTTTCCTTGGTATTACTTTTTCAACGAAATATTTGTTAAGTTGAAGAGCAGAATTATTTGATGGACATAACATGTTTCCGAGTTGTTTTTGTTCTAATGTGTTACTATCTGATTTATTCAATCATCATTAATGCGAAATGAAGGAGACATAATCAGTGGCGGAGCCAACGGAGTACATAGGTGGGCTGAGTCTATCCTAGCGAAATTTTTTTACGTGTATTTTATACGTTAAGAGGGGCTCAAAGGCTTGATTTGAGGGTTGAGTCCCCTAGTCCAAAATTCTGGCTTCGCCACTGGACATAATATATCTCATTCGTCGTTTTTTTCTTTTCTTTTTTTCTCTCTTCTTCTGTAAGACACTAATCAAATGACATGATTGCCTTATCACCAATAGAAACAAAAGTTTTCTGCGTTTGTCAATAAAAAAATATTATGTATTTCGTCCATATTATGATATTTTTATATTCATTAAAAATAAAAAGTAGAAAAGATTCACTCAACTCCTATTTGAAAATTCAATTTGTTGATCCTTGCGAGAGAAAAAGATGCTCGATAGAAGATTATTTATTTTCAAACAAAATCATATTGGTAGATATGCATTTAAATAAATATCAGTTATTATTCTAAAGCAAAAAAATAACATCCTTCAGTGTAATACTCATTCGAACTACAATTTATTTCCTACCATTATTAATAAACACTTTAAAGCTATATCTTGAACATTCATCATTTTTGATAAAAATTTTTCCTAGCATATTTCGTTAATTGTACATGAAAAAATCTTCAAAATTCTTACTTTTGTTAACGAAATATAATTCTGATTGGTTTTATTTTTCAATCTTAAATTTATCAGAATAATTCTATCGACTAGATTTTTTTCCTTTTATTCAATTATAATTTATTAGAACAACGAACAGTTGTTATTTGCCAAGGAAAAATCAAACTTGTGTTGATAAACCGTTCGTGCGTGAGATGAGACACAGAAAGAGAGTAATTAGAAACATCATTCATATTCATGACATATTTGTTTTGATATTGCTATTTATTGTTACGCTCGGAAGCGCTTACATGGGGATGAACTTAGATTTAGAATTATAGCATGCAATAGTCTGTAGCAACATATGCAAGCGATCATGTTTTTGACATCAAGCTATCATAGTGCGCTTTGAGCTTTTTTGGGAAGAAAAATCAGAAGGAAGATAAAAAGACAAAGGAACAGACATACAGAAAGGAAGAAAAAGAAAAATCCAGAGACAGTATACATAAGAGGAGAAAAGACAGATAAAGAAGAAGAGAATGCAAGAAAAAGAGAAAAAAACGGAGCACTTAAACAAAGGCACATCGATGCACGCATCGACGTTTAATCGACAAGCTCAATCCATTTAAGCAGTAGAGTCTCATGTCTATCTTTCAATTTTTTAACTCTTCTCATCCGGAAAAACTGACCTAACTTATCTCCTTCAGTTTTGTGAAAATCGTCCCAAAAAAATATATCATTAAAAAAGGGAGAACGTTCTAAGTCTGATTTATAAATTTGCTTTAACCCTTTGAGGACGGAATTTTTTTTAATCGCAAAAACATTTTTCAACCTTTTTATTTTATTTTAACTCAAAATGGCTACATAAAAACCTTATGATAATCAAAAAAACAACTTTTTTAATCTCTTAAACAAAATGGCAATTTGCAAGTAAAGCACTCCATTTTGGATCGAAAATCTGCTTTTTTGGTGCTACCATAAGCACGTCTTCTTCTTTTTGCTGTCACAGGCAAATGCATTTCAGTGTCAAAACTGAGGACAGTTTTCGGTGATGCTAGTTTAGACTTATTTTCAGAAGAAGGTCTTCCACAACTTATTCGATCACTGCTGAAACAGAGAGACACTTCGCCACTGAAACCATGTAGTTTAAGTATATTAACTTATCTTGAGCTAACTGATTATAACAAATGAATGAATTGAAAATAGATGCATTTAGAAAATAAATAAATATTCGCAGACAGTTCCTTTTAGACTTGCGATCGAGATGGTAGCAGGATATTCTTTGGCTGAGTCAGTCAACTCCATGTGAAAACCGATTGTAATCTTTTACTGCTTTCGAAAAGCCAATTGTAATACGTTGACCATTTTTCAAACGACGTGAAATTGGAACAACATCGTTGTCTTTATGATAATTTGAAGCCAAAAAAAATGTGTTTGGTGTCCATCCATATGAAGACAATGCTGTTCGA